TGGAGTTTCCCATGGGACCACGAAACGTGTGAGGGGAGTGCCGAACTGGGCGCGGCGGTGCCATGCGGACGCTGCCCCTGGGGCCTTCGGGGGGCTCCGGATGCGCAATGCCACTGTGGCATTCGGTGGAGCTGTCCATGAGGCCACGAAACGTGAGAGGGATGTGCCGAAAACTGCTACATGCGGAGGGCAGAGGCAGGGATGGGAGGCAAGAGGAGGGAGAAGGAGTAGGGAGAGGAGGAGATACTCGGAAAGGAGAGAGGAGACGAGAGGCTAGGAGACGAAAGACTCGCAAAGGAGAGGAAAGGAGAGGAGAGGAGACGAGAGGGGAGGTGAGGAGAGGAGAGGAGAGGAGAGGAGAGAAGAGGAGAGAAGGGGAGAGGAGAGGAGAGGAGAGGAGAGGAGAGGACGAGGAGAGGAGAGGAGAGGAGAGGAGAGGAGAGGAGAGTGGAGAGGAGAGGAGAGAGATCGAGGAGAGGAGAGGAGAGGAGAATAGAGGAGAGGAGAGGGAGGATGAGGAGGGGCGGGGAGGGGAGGGGTGAGGGGAGGGGGGGAGGGGGAGGGGGAGGGGAGAGGAGAGGAGAGGAGGAGGAGAGGGGAGGGGCGGGGAGGGGAGGGGGAGGGGAGAGAGGCAGGGGAGGAGAGGAGACGGAGAGGAGAACGGAGAAAGGAGAAAGGAGAAAGGAGAAAGGAGAAAGGAGAAAGGAGAAAGGAGAAAGGAGAAAGGAGAAAGGAGAGAGGAGAAAGGAGAAAGGAGAAAGGAGAAAGGAGAAAGGAGAAAGGAGAAAGGAGAAAGGAGAAAGGAGAAAGGAGAAAGGAGAAAGGAGAAAGGAGAAAGTAGAAAGGAGAAAGGAGAATGAGGAGAAAGAGGGGAAATGAGAAAGGAGAAAGGAAGAAAGGAGAAAGGATAAAGCAGAAATGATAAATGATAAATGATAAAGGAATAATGATAAAGAATAAAGGATAAAGAATAGAGGAAATATGGTAAAGGATGAATGATAACGGATAAAGGGTAAATGATAAATGATAAAGGATAAAGGGAAAATGATATATGATAAATGATAAAGTATAGATCATAAATGATAAAGGATAGAGGATGAATGATAGAGAATACATGATAAATGGTAAATGAAAAGGGTAACGGATAAAGGATAAAGGATACATGATAACTGCTAGAAGACAATGGATATATGATAAAGGAGACAGAAATGAGAAAGGAGAAAGGAGAGAGGAGAGAGGAGAGGAGAGGAGAGGAGAGGAGAGGAGAGGAGAGGAGAGGAGAGGAGAGGAGAGGAGAGGAGAGGAGAGGAGAGGAGAGGGGAGAGAAGAAGAGAGGAGAGGAGAGGAGGCGCGGGGCGCTGTCTCTTAAAACGAGGACCCAACACCACAGAATGGCTTCGAAAGCAGAATCAAGGCTTTGCACAGGAGTAGCTCTGCTAGCGTTCACGGCGGGCAGGCGTGGAGCCACTGAGAGAAAACAGCAGAACCGAATGTAGAGAAACAAAACGCACACCTGGCGCCCTGGTGCGGCTGGAGCGCGTGGCACACGTGGCGCAGGTGGAGCACGCGCCGCACCTGGCGCACCAGGCGCACCCAGCACGCTTGGGCCCCTGGGACGCATGGCGCCCCTGGTGGCCTTGGCACGTGTGGCACACTGCGCCAGCGCCGCGCACCTGGTGCCTGCACTGGCACCCAGCAGTTGCTCGTCCGATTGCGACTGGCCGTCTGCGCATTGTACGGACGGGCCTGTGTGAAGCTCTGCAAGCCCCGAAGGGAGAAGAGCCGGAGGAGGGGTGGAGGACGAGAGAAAGCGGAAGGAGGAGAAGGAGAGGGAGGCAAAGCGTCACACAGGGCTGGAAAAGGGGGGCAGGAGGAGGAGGAGGAGCTGACGCGACTGGATGTGCACATCGGCGGGGCCGTCCGCGGCTGGAAGCCACCGCCACGGCCTCGCGGACGCTTCCGCTCCCAGCGCACGCCTGATCCCCGAGGGGCGCCGCCGAGCGGACGCGGGTCTCGCTCCACGGAGGCCCCTGGCGCCCCCCCCCCCCCTCAGCGAGCACAGGGGCAGCAGGACCAATGCCTCCTCCTCCTCCTCCTCCTCCTCCTCCTCCTCCTCCTCCTCCTTCTCCTCCTCCTCCTCCTCCTCCTCTCATATCGTTAGTACTATTAGTTCGTCTTCTTAGTAATTTTACAGAAAGCATTATGATTCTTCTGATTATTAATAATCTTAGTCATATGCTCGGTGTTTTTTCTGGTATTACTAGTAATAGTGTTCGCCTCGCTCTTGTTACTCCTATCAGTGCTAGAGTTACCATTACTAAAATCCTTCGCATTCGTTATATTACTATTTGTATTATAAAGATTACTAGTAGTACTCTTTCGCTTCTTCATATTATTATGGAGTCTTCTCATGCTCGTATCAGTAGTGGGGTTATTCGTGCTACTATTTCTATTCGCTTTCGTAGTACTATTTGTATCTTCATGGTACAACTCGTATTAATTATCGACTTCGCTTTGTTTACTGTTATTGTTGTTGGTCTTATTATTAATATTAGTAATGGCCATCATATTAGTAGTTGCATTCCTCTCATGTGTATTGTCCTTACTTGTCTCAGAATTACTTCAAGTGTTAGTACGATTATTCGGCCTCGTCTTATTAACACTGTTCTTATTCGTACTAGTACTATCCACAGATTCTGCTTAGTAGCAGTATTAGTATGCTTATTCTGATTCCTGGTAAAACCATGTTTATGAGTCTTCGTAGTATTACTCTTATTCGTATTAGTGGTAATATTGTTCTTAGTATGCATCTTCAGATTAATGGTATTCCGAGTATGCTTATTAATAGTAGTCGTCTTCAAATGATTGTTCGCATTCTTATTATCATTCGGAATAGTAGTGTTGCTTTTCGTGTTCCTATTATTATTCGTTCTCTTATTTGCATTGTCATGTATCATGTTCGTCTTACTATTCTTATAATATATATTATTCGTGAAATTATTTTTGATGATATTAGTATGGCTCGCCTTATTATTGCTATGGTTAGTATTATTACTTTTCCTCTTCCTCCTCCTCCTCCTCCTCCTCCTCCTCCTCCTCCTCCTCCTCCTCCTACTCCTCCTCCGCATCCCTCCCGCCCACCCACCCGCGGCAGGTTCGTGTCGTCACGAGCGGGTCTCTGACAGGCTCGGCCGGCTCAGCGTGGGCTCGGGGCCACAGGTTCGAGGCCTCTGCCCTGGCCGCTCCGTGGGCCTCAACGGCGGCGTCTCGTGGCCACACGGCTGGCCGGAACCGAAATCTCGGCCAGAGCGCGACAGGTACAGAGCCCGACCTGTGACACCCACAGGCTTGCGGATTCGGCGGGTTCACATCGCGATGACGTCGTCGGCGGCTTCTGACACCGCGTGGATCGTTCGAGTTTGAGCGGCTGCGGCTTTCCGATAGCGCCCGCCGTTCGTTTGCAGCCGACTCCAGACCACGAGCGGGCGCTCCACCCCGAAGACCCGCGCTGGGGCCGCCACCGCGCAGGCAACGACACGACCCACCACGCCCGCCATGACTGCTCCAGAGATGGAGCCCGACCGAGCGGGGGGGGGGAGAGCAAGCAAGCAAGCAAGCAAGCAAGCAAGCAAAAGGCTGAGTGCGAAGCGCACGGGGGCACTTGGCCATCATCACGCGGCACCGCAGGGCTCCCTGGCTGCGACCCGCAGCGGCCGCGGCCAGAGATGGTGCCCTGCCACGGCGCCATAGGTGCCAGTGGAGGGGCAGCGCTGCGAGAGCTCCGGGCTACCTCGGGGACAGCCCGTGCAGCCCCAGGGAAGCCCCAGCGTCGGGCGGGGCCCCCTCCAGGAGCCTCCCCTGCTCCTGCTCGCTGGGGACGCACCGCTCGGGCGGGTCCGGGACACCCCCCTGCGAGCCAGCCTTCCCGGCCTGCTCGCGGGGGCAGGCCGGCGCGAGGCAGCTCGCCCAGACCACGCGCGGGGCCCGCGCGCACCGCAGCGCCACCCTGACCGTCACGAGGGCGGCAAGCAGGACGGAGCCCACGAGGCTGGCGGCCGCGCCAACGCACGACCAGCAGGGGGAGGTCCACACGCGGCCGATGCCGGCGTCGGCCTTCGAGGCGAGCCCCGCGGGCGCCGCCCGCCGAAGGGCGTGCTCCCGCATCGCGACCGCGATGTCCTGGCCATAGTCGCAGATGTTGTCGACCTCGACGAGGTTCAGCAGCGCCAAGACGTCCAGGCCCCGGATGCGCTCCGCGACAAGGCGGTTGAGCTGCGACCAGCTGTTCTCCTGCAGGATGCAGGAGGAGCGCGCCACGCCCTCGGCGATCTGGCCATGGTCGTACTGCCAGTGGAGCTGTATGTTCCACAGCTTATCGTCTGGCGGCGATCTGGGGTTGACCGTGGCGTCAAAATACCTCCACATGGCCTCCAGGGCAGTGGCCCTGTCGTTGTCGGAGCCGTAGCAGGAGAGACCCGTGAAGCTGATGGAAAGCCCTTCAAGGCGACGGTTATCCTCCGATACGTTGCTGCCTCTGGCGCCCGCGAGCCTGCGGCCGAGGAGATGGTAGCATCCCAAATCTTGCTCGAAGTTGTCCTGAACATGTTTGGTGGTCGTCCACAGCACGGAGCCGTTTCCCGGGAGCCTGCCGCGCTCCAAGGCATGCTCGAGCGTCCCGCGGACGTCACGCTCCCGAAGCGAGTGGATCCCCCTGTCATAGAATGCCTGCTTTGTGGCATCGCTGCATCCAGACCCGCCCGCGCAGTGGCTGGACATGACTAGCACCAGCTCCCCCGGGTTGGCATTCGCCCAGTCCACGAGATCGTCCAGGGCCTGGGCCATCGGCGTGTGGAACGTCACGTCGCCATGGTGCAGGACCAGCGTGTCCCCTTGCATAAACGGGCGAAGGTCGATGGCCCGCGCCCCGCAGTCCAGGAGCGTGGCCAGGGTGCCGGCGGGCTGGGTCAGAAGACCAAACGGCCACGTGAGCAAGAGCTTTCGGGGGTCCGCACGGGCTTCTCGGGCAAGCTCTGGACCCCGATTCCCACACCACTTCTCCAGCGCGCCCAGCGCGCCGCCGCCCTGGGGTGACGGGAGCGGATGTCCAGCGCCGAGCCCAGAAGTCCGCGTGACCTGCCTCAGCCGATGCGCATGTCGCGCGCCGGTCTCCCGATGGGTGACGGCGTAGTTGTTGAGCTGGTGGAACCTGTGGCAAGTGCCGTCCTTAGCGTACGTCGTGGCCGCGTCGTGAGCCATCAGCATCGGCCATCGGTGGAGGGGCGTCTGGAGCGCGTCCTCGCTCACGGGGGCCAGGCTGCTCTGCCGCGGAGCTTCTCTCGGAGGCCGGCGGCGACTCGCGACCGCCGGCCCTGGCTCGGCCCATCTTTCGAATAGGGGATCGATTACAAAATTGGCTCAGGCCCACCCCAAAAATGAAATGTCCGGCAAATCTTCTGACCAAAAACTCGAATGTTCGTGCATGTGCGCTTTTTCAATAGATTCAATAAAGAAAACAAAATTGGGCAATCCAATGTTGTTCTCGATCCCCTATTCGAACCCTGGAACCTGGACGAAGTTTTTTCCCAACACACGGCTCTGGGAGAGGAAGACGGGCTCTGTTGGCCACCTAATCACTCGTTTCGTGGCCCTATAGGAAGCTGCACCGGAGGCCCCAGGGGCAGGGTTTACATGCGTCCGCGCGACGCATGTCGGCACCCCCCTCACACGCTGCGTGGCCCCACAGAAAACTTCATCGAAGGCCCCTATGGAAGGGCTGATATCCGCTCGCGCGACGAATTTCGGCACACCACTCACGCGTTTCGTGACCCCACAAGAAGCTCCACCGAAGGCCCCCACGGCAGGATGTACATGCGTCCGCGCGACGAATGTAGGCACATCCCTCACACGCTCGGTGGCCCCACAGGAAGCTCCACCGAAGGCCCCAGTGGCAGGGTTGACATGCGTCCGCGCGACGAATTTCGGCACTCCCCTCGCACGCTTCGTGGCCCCATAGGAAGTTCCACCGAAGGCCCCAGTGGCAGGGTGTACATGCGTCCGCGCGACAAATTTCGGCACTCCCCTCGCACGCTTCGTGGCCCCACAAGAAGCTCCACCCGAGGCCCCACGGGCAGGGTTTACATGCGTCCGCGCGACGAATTTTGGCACACCCCTCACACGTGGCACGGTTTACGTGCATCCGCGCGGCGAATTTCGGCACTGCCTTCACACGCTTCGTGGCCACGGAGGGAGCTCCACCGAAGGCGCCAGTGGCAAGATTTACATGCGTCCGTGCGACGCATGTCGGCACACCCCGCACACGCTTCGTGGCCCAATCCCACCAGCCCTCTGGGCGTAGGTGGTCTATGGCGTTTTTTCTTCCACCCCTTCTTCCCCTTCGGGAAGGGTGTATTACTGTTCCGTATTAGTAAACACCCCGTCCCCCAGGCGACTCGGATCCAACCAAGGACAATGCGGCCCCCCCCCCCCCCCACCTTCCCTTTTTAAAAAAATACAACACACACACACACACACACACACTCAGCCTCCAAATTCGGAGCATTCGCAGCCAACCCGATGCGGCCTCCTCCCACCATCCGTGTCGAAAAAAATACTCACTGCGTGGAGTTCCCCATATGCGCATCTCATGTTTTATGTCATGCCATAGCGAACGTCTGTTCATGAGCGCTTGACTATAATAGCGCGTCCACGTGGGCGACAGAGCCGACGAACACGAGAGAATCCGAATGCGAGCGAGTGAGTATGACTCAGAGTGAGCTTTGAATACGATTGGATATGAGCCTCCCATTCATTCCCCCTCCTCAATACTCTGGCCGCGAACGGGCCCGTGTCCTACCCCCTGGCGGCTCCTTTTAGGGGTGCTGAAACCAGCGCCCCGCATGAGACATCCTCGCAAACTGCTCTAAACGCAGATGAGCCTGCCCGCCAAAACAGCCAAACCGCTTGAGACATCCCCACAAACTGGCCGCGAACGGGTTCGTGAAAACATCCCTGGCGACTCCCCTTAGGGGTGCTGAAACCAGCGCCCCGCTTAAGACATCCTCACAAACTGCTCTAAACGCGAACGAGTCTGCCCACCAAAACAACCAAACCGCTTGAAACATCCCGACAAACTGGGAGCGAACGGGCCCGTGAAAACACCCCTGGCGGCTCCCCTTAGGGGTGCTGAGACCAGCGCCCCGCCCCAGACATCCTCACAAACTGCTGCAGACGAGTCTGCCCACCAAAACAGCCAAACCGCCTGAGACATCCCCACAAACTGACCGCGAACGGGCCCGTGAAGACACCCCTGGCGGCTCCCCTAGGGGAAACCAGCGCCACGCCTGAGACGTCCTCACAAACTGCTCTAAACGCAGCAAGTCCGCCCACCGAAACAGCCAAACCGCCCGAGACATCCCCACAAACTGGCAGCGAACGGGCTCGAGAAAACACCCCTGGCGGCTCCCCTTAGGGGAAACCAGCGCCACGCCCGAGACATCCTCACGAACTGCCCTAAACGCAGCAAGTCCGCCCACCAAAACAGCCAAACCGCCTGAGACATCCCCACAAACTGGCCGCGAACGCGCCCGTGAAAACACCCCTGGCGGCTCCCTCTAAGCGGAACCAGCGCCATGCCTGAGACGTCCTCACAAACTGCTCTAAACGCAGCAAGTCTGCCCACCAAAACAGCCAAACCGCCCGAGACATCCCCACAAACTGGCCGCGAACGGGCTCGTGAAAACACTCCTGGCGGCTCCCCTTGGGGGTGCTGAAACCAGCGCCCCACCTGAGACATCCTCACCAACTGCTCTAAACGCAAACGAGTCTGCCCACCAAATTACGCTACCGTGGAACCCCACATACTTATATTATGGCTGGAGTGATGACAGCTGAAAAGAAGCATGTGAGAATGATATTGGTGGCCGTTGCCCCGCCGATACCGTTGGTGACGCCTGATATGCCCTGGAAAACGGTCGTGCATAGCGGCCGCGGTGAGGGACCACCCCCTGCGCACCCCCTATGGTGTCGAGAAAGTGCCACGCCTGCTATGCCCTGGACGACCGGCGCGCATAGCGGCCACGGTGAGGGACCACCCCCTGCAGCCCCCCATGGTGTCGAGAAAGTGCCACGCCTGCTATGCCCTGGACGACAGTCGTGCATAGCGGCCGCGGTGAGGGACCACCACCTGCGCACACCGTAGTGTGTCGAGAAAGTACCACGCCTGCTATGCCCTGGACGACCGTCGTGCATAGCGGCCGCGGTGAGGAACCACCCCCTGCGCACCCCCTATGGTGTCGAGAAAGTGCCACGCCTGCTCTGCCCTGGACGACCGGCGCGCGTAGCGGCCACGGTGAGGGACCACCCCCTGCGCACCCCCTATGGTGTCGAGAAAGGTGCACGCCTGCTATGCGCCTGCTATGCACGGGACGACCGTGGTGCATAGCGGCCGCGGTGAGGGACCACCCCCTGCGCACCCCGTTTGGTGTCGAGAAAGAAAATGCCACGCCTGCTATGCTATGGCGGACCCGGCACGCATCAGGGACCACCCCCTGCGCACCCCGTTTGGTGTCGAGAAAGTACCACGCCTGCTATGCCCTGGACGACCGTCGTGCATAGCGGCCGCGGTGAGGGACCACCCCCTGCGCACTCCCTATGGTGTCGAGAAAGTGCCACGCCTGCTATGCCCTGGACGACCGGCGCGCATAGCGGCCACGGTGAGGGACCACCCCCTGCGCATCCCCGTTTGGTGTCGAGAGAATGCCACGCCTGCTATGCACTGGACGACCGTCGTGCATAGCGGCCGCGGTGAGGGACCACCCCCTGCGCACCCCGTTTGGTGTCGAGAAAGTACCACGCCTGCTATGCCCTGGAAGACCGTCGTGCATAGCGGCCGCGGTGAGGGACCACCCCCTGCGCACCCCCTATGGTGTCGAGAAAATGCCACGCCTGCTATGCCCTGGACGACCGGCGCGCATAGCGGCCACGGTGAGGGACCACCCCTGCGCACCCCCTATGGTGTCGAGAAAGTGCCACGCCTGCTATGCCCTGGACGACCGGCGCGCATAGCGGCCACGGTGAGGGACCACCCCCTGCGCACCTCCAATGGTGTCGAGAGAATGCCACGCCTGCTATGCCCTGGATGACCGTCGTGCATAGCGGCCGCGCTGAGGGACCACCCCCTGCGCACCCCCTATGGTGTCGAGAAAGTGCCACGCCTGCTATGCCCTGGACGACCGTCGTGCATAGCGGCCGCGGTCGCAGAAAAAAACACGACGGGAGGTTCTCCCATGTTTTCGACCTCGTCGAGGAGGGGTCGCAGACCCCTTCGCGGTGTAAAGAATCCCGATTGGAGTTCTTTCTGTTTTGCAGTTTTCGACCTCGGGGGGCCCTTCCCAGGCCTCGGGGCCGTCCAAAAACGACTCGGGACGAAAAACCGGTCCAGACCTCTCGGGGGTCGTCGTTGTGCCAGCCAGCATCACGACGTGGGGGGTCTGATGGCGGAGGGGGTTCCCTGAGACACTGGCGTTGCAGCTTTTTCACAGAAAAGGCGTCTTCGCCAAGTTCAGGGCCCGGGGACCGTCACAGATCGATCAGGCTCGGAAAATGCTGCAGAAAGATGGTCCGGAGGTGAATTTTTGCGATGTCGCACCTTTTTGGCAACGTCGGCTCTCAGTGCCAGCTCCGCCGGGCTCCCAGACCCGGGCCAACCGCTGGCCGTAGGGGAGCCTCGAGAGCACGGGCCGACCCCCGTGGACACGACCTGGGACAGACCTGGGGGCCGACTCCTCCCCCCCGGGCTGCCGACGAGGCACGAGGGCCGAGGATTCAGGAGGGACGGGGGAGGAGGATCGAGGAGGAGAAGGAGGAAGAGGAGGATCGACGAGGGGAAGGAGGGGGGGGGAGGAGGGAGCTCCGATCGAGGAGAAGGCCCCCGCCACCTGCGCCCCCCCCCCCCCGACTGGCGGCGGCGCGCCGACGCCAGCCTCCGGGGTCTCGGCACCCGCCCTCGCAGCGGCAGCAGAAGAGGCCGCACGCGCCCCGGCCGCAGCACGGCGTGCCCGCGTTGCCGTCCGCGCAGATGCCGCCGAACACTGAACCGCAGCAGTCGGCGCGCGCGCCCCGGTGCGCCGCCAGCGCTGCCGCCAGCAGGCCTGCTGCCGGCACGCCGAGGCCGGGCGGGCGCGAGGCTACGCGCATGTGGCGGGACGACCTGCGCCGCGCCGCGCAGGCGGCTGCGCGGGCGCCAGCTCGAGCCAGCTGGCTGCACTTGAAGAAGAAGAGGAAGAAGAAGAAGACGAAGAAGAAGAAGGAGGAGAAGGAGAAGGAGAAGGAGAAGAAGAAGAAGGAGAAAAAGAAGGAGAAGAGAAGAAGAGGGTACAGTCCCTGCCACACCGCCCTGGGCACCCACCCCCGGGGTAGAAGCCCCGCCTGACCACCCAGTCTACTAGTTCTTCGCCCCCCCTGTTGAAGAAGAACTTGGCGCGGTTCAGATATGGACAAGGCAGCGAGTGGCCTCACTCTGTTCTCCCAATTTCTCCTCCCTGCACGGAAGAAAGGACCGGCGAGGCTCTTGAACTCCCCACGAACCCTACATGATCCGTATGGAAGCACTGAGCCTACACGGCCTGTATGGGATCCTATACAGAGCCTACACGGCCTGTAAGGGATCTTATACAGAGCCTACACGGCCTGCACAGGATCCTATACGGGGCCTACACGCCCTGTATGGGATGCTATACGAAGCCTACACGGCCTGTACGGGGTCCTACATACAGCCTACACGCCCTGTAGGGGATCCTATACAGAGCCTACATGGCCTGCTTTAGGATCCTATACAGGGCCTACACGCCCTATACGGGATCCTATACGGGGCCTACACGCCCTGTATGGGGTCCTGTACAAAGCCTACACGGCCTGCACGGGACCCTATACAGAGCCTACACGGCCTGTGTGGGATCCTATACAGAGCCTACACGGCCTGTATGGGATCCTATACGGAACCTACACGGCCTGTACGGGGTCCTATACAGAGCCTACACGCCCTGTATGGGATCCTATACAGAGCCTACACGGTTAGTGTGGGATCCTATAGAGAGCCTACACGGCCTGTGTGGGATCCTACACAGAGCCTACACGCCCTGTATGGGATCTCATACAGAACCTACATGGCCTGTGTGGGAGTCTATGCACAGCCTACACGCCCTGTATGGGATCCTAGACAGAGCCTACACGCCCTGTATAGGATCCTATACACAGCATACACGGCCTGCTGGGGATCCTATACAACGCCTACACGCCCCGGACGGGGTCCTATACAGAAACTACACGCCCTGTTTGGGATCCTATACAAAGCCGACACGGCCTGTGTTAATGTTAAAAGTAGTAGTAGTAGTAGTAGTAGTAATAATAGTAGTAGTAGTAGTAGTAGTAGTAGTAGTAGTAGTAGTAGTACTACTAGTAATAGTAGGAGTACTAGTAGTAGTACTAGTAGTCGTAGTAGTAGTAGTAGTAGTAGTAGTAGTAGTAGTAGTAGTAGTAGTAGTAGTAGTAGTAGTAGTAGTAGTAGTAGTAGTAGTAGTAGTAGTAGTAGTAGTAGTAGTAGTAGTAGTAGTAATAGTAGTAGTAGTAGTAAAAGTAGTAGTAGTAGTAGTAGTAGTAGTAGTAGTAGTAGTAGTAGTAGTAAAAGTAGCAGTAGCACTAGCAGTAGACTCATCCGCCTCCTCCTCCTCCGCCTCCCCCTCCTGCTCATTCTCCTCCTCCTTCTGCTGCCCCCCATCCTCCGTTTCTTCCTTCTGCTGCTCCCCATCCTCATTGGACCCCTCCTGCTCCCCATCCTCCTCGTGCTCTTGCTCCTCCTCCTTGTGTTCCTGCTCCTCCTCTGCTCCTGCTCCTGCTACTGCTCCTGGTCCTGGTCCTCTTCCTCCTCATCCTCCTCCTCCTGATCCTCCACCTCCTCCTCCTCCGCACCCTCCTCCTCCTCCGCCCACCTTTTCCTGGACCTCCTGTGGAGGCATTGGTGGAGTTCCCTGTGGGGCCAGGGCCACGATCCTCGAGAACGGTGTGCCGAAATAAGGTTTCGGTGGAGTTCCCTGTGGGGCCAGGGCCACGATCCTCGAGAGGGGTGTGCCGAAATCAAGTTTCGGTGGCGTTCCCTGTGTGAGGACCACGATCCTCGAGAGGTGGATTCCGAAAGGAGTCCTCAGAACTCCCTAGGGTGTCCTTATGATTCCCTACGGATGCCCAAGGACCCCCTAAGGATTCCTACGGGGTAAGGATGTGCTCAGAGCCACGGCCACCATATGGATCCGATAGGATTCCTATAGGATTCCACCGGGACCCCATTGAATTACATAGGGCTTTCTGTATGATCCCATACGGATGCTATACAATCCCATAGGGATCCTATTGGGGCCCTACAGGATCCCACGCGGGTCGTGTAGGACTCCATATAGAACCCATAGGATTCCATGGGGACCATTTAGGGCTCCTGGAAGATTCCCTTAGGATCTTCCAGGATTCCATAAAGATCCTGTAGGACTCCTATAGGGTTCCATGGGGATCCTATGAAGATTTTCCGGGATCCTATAAGGTTTTCTACGAAACCCTCATGGAACCCGATATGGCATCCTACAAGATCTCAATGGAATCCTAAAGGATCCCAATGGGATCCTATAGGGCCCCTATGGCATTTCAATAGGATCCCTATGGAATCGTATAGGTTCCCGATGGAGTCGTATAGAGTCCCCAGGTATCCTATAGGACCCCTTATGGAATCCTATAGGACGCCGACACCAACACCCCAACGGCCCCGTGGGGCCACCGCAGGGGCCCCACGGGGTTGCAGGGGTGTTGGTGTTGGTGTGGGGGGGGTGCGGGTCGTCAACGCACGTGTCCATCAACAACAACAACAACAACAACAACCACAACAACAACAACAACAACAACAACAACAACAATAACAACAACAACAACAACAACAACAACAACAACAACAACAACAACAACAACAACAACAACAACAACAAATACTAGCACGTGGGGACACCCCGTTCTCACCAGTGCCAGGGTTTTCATAGGAGGCGGGCAATACCCCCACTTTGTGGGGGGGCCGGTTCAAGCTCTACCAAATTTCCAAACGACTCTTCGCCACCACCCACACCCAGCTTCCCGCCCTATGACGTTCGGACACTTCACTTCGTGGCATGCGGACGACCGTGGCTACTATTCAGGGCCCCGCGGCCGACGACGACGGCGTGCGCGCGCGAAGAAAAAACGAATGTGCCCGCATGGTATTATTTGACAGGGATGATGGCCCTGGCAGGTGCGCAACCGTTGTCGCAGAAGTTCGAAAAAGTTGCTCGCAAAAGCCCGTTTGACAGAAATGTTTAAAAAGTGTTGGGTTTCCTACGAATCCGCAAGAGCGCGCGGGATGAGATTTTGACATTTTTTTTGTTGAAAAACCATTGGTTTTTTGATGTTTTTATGTTAAAATCGCTGCGAACACTAAGGTTTTGAAAGGATTTCGTCTTGCGCGCGCGAATGTCCACTTTACCTTAATTTTTGCAAGGGATTCTTGAAATTTGATTATATTAGAACAAGAAATGTCATTTTCTATTGTTTTTTGCAAGGGAAAGCGGATTACAACAAAACAACCGGATCCTCTTTTCTGAAGCTTCCTCACGAAAATGATGAAAATGTAGCTGCGGCCTAGGCGGCGCAGGGGGGGCGCGCACCAGGGGGCCCAACAATAATTATTCTTTAGAATAAATAATGTTCAACAACAATTACTAGCACGTGGGGACACACCGTTCTCACCAGTGCCAGGGTTTTCATAGGAGGCGGGCAATACCCCCACTTTGTGGGGGGGCCGGTTCAAGCTCTACCAAATTTCCCAACGACTCTTCGCCACCACCCACACCCAGCTTCCCGCCCTATGACGTTCGGACACTTCACTTCGTGGCCTGCGGACGACCGTGGCTACTACACTGGCGCATGGGTACAGTGACTTGTTGTGGTAACAATTTCTGGACGCTAGCTTAGTATACGACTTTTCCCCCTGTTCCAACACTGGACACCTGTACTGGTTTTTGGTGGTAACGTGTTCCTGACGCTAGAATAGGAAACCACGGTAAACCAGTACGACGCCGGTACTGTCTGTAGGTCCTACAATGATATGGACTGCTTTGGCTGGTGAGGCGCTAGCGTCTGATGCGAAAGTAGCTCGCGCGAGCTCATGTAACATAAATGTTGAAAAACCATTGGTTTTTTAGGATTCGGACAGCGCGCGCGGGTAGAAATTTTGAAAATTCGTACAGATGTTTTTCGAGGACCTACGGTGCGATTCGTATGATGTTATGTTGCGCGGTGCTAAAATTCCTAAGAAACCCAATGGTTTTTGAAGATTTCGGCGTGCGCGCGCGAAGAAAAAACGAATGTGTCCCGCATGGTATTATTTGACAGGGATGATGGCCCTGGCAGGTGCGAAACCGTTGTCGCAGAAGTTCGAAAAAGTTGCTCGCAAAAGCCCGTTTGACAGAAATGTTTAAAAAGTGTTGGGTTTCCTACGAATCCGCAAGAGCGCGCGGGATGAAATTTTGACATTTTTTTTTTGAAAAAAACCATTGGTTTTTTGATGTTTTTATGTTAAAATCGCTACGAAAACTAAGGTTTTGGAAGGATTTCGTCTTGCGCGCGCGAATGTCCACTTTACCTTATTTTTTGCAAGGGATTCTTGAAATGTGGTTATGTTAGAACAAGAAATGTCCACTTTAGCTTATTTTTTGCAAGGGAAAACCGATCGTAACAAAACAACCGGATCTGGATCACATCGTTTTGTCAAGGACTTCCTCACGAAAATGATGAAAATGTGGCTGCGGCCTAGGCGCGGCGAGGGGGCCGTGCACCAGGGGTCCCAACAATAATTATTCTTTAGAAGTAATAATGTTCAACAACAACAACAACAACAACAACAACAACAACAACAACAACAACAACAACAATCATTTTCAGACTGTTCGCCCTTATATGCTCGAGTGTCCAATAACCCAAACCCTCGATACCCGCCCTCTTCGTCTTCGATCGAACCCCTTTTGGGGGGTATACCTTTCTTCCCTGCAGGCCGGGCCCCGGCAAGCGGCGGGGCGGCCGCAGACCGTCGGCCTGGCCAGCGGCAGCGCTGATCGGCGGGGCGGCCGCGGACCGTCGACCCGACCCCAAGAGGGAC